TAAGGCCCTTGTGTGACCATGTATCTAATATATTGTGTCGCACGAGCCCAAACTCCGTTGCCTCCAATGTACAATGTATCCGCATATAGGGACGTTAATCTGTAGTAGGTTTTTTTTTGTTTTTTTTGTTCTTTGTTCTAAAAGTTATTATCCTTTTTTTGTTTTCTTGTGGAGTAACTTCCAAATAGTGTAATGTTGGTTAGAGTTGCTTTTGGGAACATACAAGTAAGGCCTGTGGCAGGAAAAGGCGAAGGACAATGGTTGTTGTTCCATTTTTCCACTCGGTTATATTTGCGCGTTGTATGTGCGTTGTGTGTGCGCTTGTGTGAGCTTGAGAGTGCACTTACGTTCCAAAAGGAATAACCAAGGAAGGCAACGGTGACGGCGGACAGGAAGAAGAGTACGGGAGCAGTGGCGCTAAGGACAGCGTGCGTTAGGTCAGGGACAGCTTGGGCGACGTCCCCGGGACCTTGGCCGGTGTTGGATGAACTGGATGATCCAGGTATGGTGGTTGGTGGTACGAATGCACCTGATACGTCCTTTATGTTCAGCTCATTTGGAGGATAGTTAAGTGTGAAATCTTTATATTTTTTACGAGGCAAATCTCCTATACCCCATAAGTTGGCACTATTCGGTACGTGACCAAATTCTTTCCCATCCCCAGAGAATCCTTCGCCTATACCCCATAGGGGGGTACTGTACACTTTTGTGTCCCATTCGTCCATATTTTTCTCGCGCGAGCCCGTGGTTGTCGTAGGGTGAATTTCACCTTCCCCGCGAACTGGACCAGCAGAATTTTCTGAACTTTTTGGATTGGCTGGTTCTATCGGGTCATCTGACCCTGCTCGTGCTACTGGTTCCTGCGCCTGTGTCTCCTTTCCTTTCTCTTCTTTAACCTCTCCACCAGGGGGTGGATCCTGTGACTGGACGCCTTGTCCGCCCTTACTTGAGCTATCGTTTTCAGTACCTTTACCTAAAAATGTAAGCCACAGGGACAAAGTGAGAATGCGATGACAACTGAACTGTTGTGACATGGATTGTGGACCACACGGTCGGTCGGCTACACGGTTGTTGGTCTGTCGACGGGGCATGGCACGGGGCAGTGACCACCAGGCGTCGAGGCAGGAGACGGACGGGGGCAAGGTGCCACCCAGGGAAAAGACTCTCTCTCTCCCACCCGCACACAACACACACACAGTGTGTGTGTGTGTCTGTGTCGACGTCTACGTCTACATCCCGCGGCCGACCCATCGCTCTACCTGCCGTGGTTGTCTCTCTCCCCCCGTCGCTCTGCCACTCGGCTGCTGACGCTGCCTATCATTCTCATTCGACGTTTGGTTTCTCTCGCTCTCTCTCTCTCTCTCTCCGGAAAAGTTGTTTGTTTCTGTTTTTTTTTTTTTTTTTTTTCTCCCTCTAATATTCCAGCAGGCATATTGCCACACAGTTTGCAAGCTCAGAGGTAAGCTCATGTGAAACACTGTTACCTTTGTCTGAACATTCGGATGAAGAGTCCGGGACACTGATAGATATCATGGTACTACCGTGACCACGCAAATCCTCCTGAATGGTTTCAGCACTTTGTCCGCGGCCTGCTGCCGCAACTTGGGATACGGTCACGGTCTTGGTACAAGTACTTTTCTTACCTGCAGGTTCTTCCTTGGTCTTATCCGTCACGGTACCCACGGATGATGGTGGTGACACAGGGGGTTGTTGTCCAGGTCCTGGTCCTTGCGTGCCTGTTCCTCCTGGGGCCGGTGGTTCCTTTGGTGGCTCCTCCGGAGGAGGTGGTGGTGGTGGTCTGGCTGGTACTGCTGGGGATGCCGGTGCTTGTGGTTGCTGCCCCGATCCTGATGCTGCTCCTCGCGCGTCCTGTGCTCCAGGTGTGGGATCCGTCCTGGACACTGAGTCTCCGGCTGAGGATGGTGCCGAAGGTGCTGCGTGCTTCTTTTTGTCCTCCGGGGTCGTTGCTGTTGTGGCCGGCTTAGCGGCCGCGGAGCGTCCGGCGCCTGCAATGACGGATGCACGAAAGAGGGTAGAACGAGGATAAAAAAAAAAAAGGACACAAGTGGTACAGAAAGAAGGGGCCGGGACGGTGCGGTCAGCTAGCGGCCGGGTAGGGTCCGGCTCGATGCAGTGGGTCGATGCATGGGTCGACGCAGTGGGTCGAGGTAGGACTCGGTGAACTGGGTGAGGCGGCAGCAAGCGTACGGTGAGGTGGATACATGGTAGTAGTACACTTGTATTTGTCGCTGTCATCTCGCCGCCGCACACATCTCGTCTACACTCATCGTCGCGACAACTCTACACGGTACGTTCGTCTGCACCGCCCGTCGCCGCACACTTCGGCTCAACGAAGGGACCGTGCTGTTCCCCCTGCGTGTGCTGTTGGTCTTGCGGTGTGCGTTGTTGCTCCTCATGTGCGTGTGTGGCAGTCCATCCATGTTCGTACGTTCCGTATTGGGCCGTATCCGGCCGCGCATGCGTGCGGGTCCCATTGGTCTTACCTTCCGGTTTTGTCCCACCGGGTCCGTCGGCTGTTGCATGTGTCCCCGTGCCGGCACCTGCTGCGGCCGCAATTTCCGTGAGTCCCTTATGCTCATTTATTACTTTGTCCTTCGCCCTTTGTGCTGTCTTCTCCTGCTCCTCAACTACTTTATCCACTTCTTCATCCAGTGCAGTCTTGATATTTTCTCCTCCGCTGCTACTCTGTTCCTGCCCATGAACGCTGCCTCGTCCTGTACAGTTCTCCTTCGTGACATCGGCCCATATACTGTGCAGTATTTTCCCCTCCTCGCCTAACCAGTCTCTAACCTTCGCACCTACCATCGTTTTTCCCATACTCATGTTATCCCAATTTATTATATTGCACCTACTTACACTACTCCCACTATGAAAGGTTGTTCTTAATGGTTCCCATGCCTCCTTCGCATATTGAAGTCCTTCCGTCCTTATACACTTCTTATCGTACACTTCCTTCATATACATAGCACCCATTATAGATCTCATGCATGCCGTGAGCTCCCGCCCTGCCACGTCACGGGCGTTCATATCGGTATGTTGTTGCCCTAGAAGGTGCCCATACTGATAATGCAAAGCCTTTAATATATACTCGCACACAACCTTATCCGCGTCGTGCGCATTTTCCCTTGGCTCACCCTCACCGGTGATTGCACACATGAGTCTAATGTCCTCCCGCTCTTCCTTCATATGTGCCTTGAACTCGTCGAATACGGTTTTCATATCTTTCCATACTAACCTCTAAGGAAAAGAAAAGGATATACATGTCCTCGTATGTACACCTGTTTGCCGTTGGTGTGTGTATACCTTGTTCATTACATGGATGCATACATTGTTGTCACTATGCTGCCCCTGTTCCTTTATGTTGCCTCAACTTACATCGAATTGCCCTTCTTCCCAAGCATGTCTCGCTTCTAGATACTGTCTCAATAGTTCTGTATAATAGTATTCCACCGTTACCTGGTCTATCGCAATAATTGCCATGTTCAGTATAATTAAATCCTAAATCAGTAACTACAGTGCCCGTGAAATTTACTCACAGTGCTCTACAGAATTCATGTTTGTGTTCCACTGGAAATAATTAAAATCCGTCCACAATTCGACTGCTATAACAAAGTTGCAAATATCGTGCGCGTAAATGCTACTACAGGGTAAAACTACCAACACATACTCCCCAGAAACCGTCCTAGAAGTAAGAAAAAAAAAAGAGAATGCATATACGGAGAACTGAACAACAAAAAATAAAAAAAAAACAATAAAGATAGAACAATAAAAGAGAAACAAAAGATGAAAAAAAAAAAAAAAACAAGGAAGACAAAAAAAGGAAAAAAACAAAAGGTACACTATACTACGACCCTCACAACGCGTCATGAATACACCCCCTCCCCCCTTTCTACACCGGTCTCCACTAAACGCCTTCACACACTGTCTCTGTGTGCGTACACCTAAAACCGCAGTAAAAACAACAACATCAATGCTTCTGCCGTCGTTGCTGCGGTCGGGTAAACGGATTGTCCGAGGCACGCGGCTCGAGTGTACGAAGGAGGAGATTGTCTCTCCGAGCAAACGTGGCCGGGTAAAGTATTGTCCGCGTAACGGATCCAGAGAGGGGGAGCAGAGACAGGGCGGGGAGCGCAGGAACACACATATTTTGTGGGAGGGCGCACAAGGGTGGCAACGACGGCAGCAACGACGGCCGAAGCATTGCTGTTATTACTGCGGGGTTTTAGCTGTACGCACACAGAGACAACGTGTGTGTGACAGGCGTTTAGTGGAGACCGCTGTAGAAAGGGGGGCGGGGTGTTATGCATGACGCGTTGCGTGTGTAGGTAGTGTAGTGTACCTTTTTCTATTTTTGTCTGTCTTTTTTATTTTTCTGTTTCTTGTTTTTTTTTTTTTTGTGGTTCCTCTATATTTATGCCTCTGTCATTCTCAATATATGGTTTCTGCGGCATTTAATAATAGTCCAAGACTGGGTTTGCATACAGGGCAGATAGTTGTTTTGTTCTCTATACAGTTCCAATGTTATGTGTTCAGGCCAGCACTTACTCATCCATACTAAAGGCACAATAGAACACGGTCTAGAGGGGCCATGTGACGGTTAATATAGTTCACGTGGAACATTGGGACAATACTCAGGTGTGTAATATTTGAGCTAATCGAAGAAGAAGCAGTATGTCGGCTCAGGAATTAGGGGATATATTGGCACAGTACGTGAGGGATAGGCAACTATACGGAAATGATGACGCATATCAGGTAATTAATTATGAACGAGACAACAGACCGTGTATAGCAGTATACGCGCGTATATATTGGTGCAACGTGTAAATGTGCGTAGAAGTGTGTTACTGCATATGTACTGGTAAAATTGAATGCGCAAATTTAGGACAGAGTAATAGGCACGAGCGACGTCGTGCTATGTGAATGTGTCAATGCAATGAGCGAATGAATACGCATGCACCCAGGTCCAGCATATGTTTGCACATTATACATTGTAGGCCAGTTTAGACAAGGACATAGGGGACATGCTCGGAGAGTTTATTCAACATATGGAAACGATGGAGTCACTTATGGAAGAAATGGGTACAAACTGTAATAATTATGGTTGGCAACATTGGGAAGATCAAGCTGCCTTGCGGCCCCGCGTAGGACACACGGTGGGTGACAGAATTACATGTAAATTTATGACAACAGCAATATTATTCATGCGCAAAGGCAGTCTAAGTACGCTCAAGGATGAGGGTGCGACAGAGAATAATAAGAAGATAAGGCAATACATTCGGTGTGCTATAGTAAACATGTTCGCGACCATATTAACAGAGTCAGCATGCGGCGGGCAGTGGGGTATTTATTATGCATGGTACTCGGTGGATAAAATGATGGACGAGGGAGGCATGCGGCACTTAATTACCGCGGACCATTGTCAAATGGGAGTAACTGAAGATATAAGAAGAGGACAGTGGAAAATGAGTGACAAAATTAAGAACTGGTTAAGAGCCCATGAAGCTTTAATGACAAAAATAAAAGGGACGACCATGAGTGACAGTTGTAATAAGAGTGCGCAAGGGAGCACTAAAGGAAAAGATGGCAGGAGCCAGGGCGAGGGCGCGAGTACCGTAAGAGAAGGGGAGGAAAGTGCACTCAACAAATTGAAAGAAGGGATGAAGAGTATATTGCAACGGGCGCAGGAAGAAGTTGTGCAGAGCGCGAACCGTAGTACGCCCCCAGTTAAGGATGTTCAGCGCATTGCACCCATGACTGAACCGGCAGCACCCAAACTACAAGAGCATCCTATATCGTCCACCACCACGCAGGAAACACCAGTACCGACAGGTAAGGACCGATGGGAGAAAGCACTAATACGGCTGCACACGAATACGCACACGGCCGCCACCGATACAGACGCATATGGATGGATGCCACCACATCAACACGCACAGCGGTGTGCAACAGCGCATCCCTTCGCTGCCCCACTTCGGTTTAGTGGAGGTGTGCGGCAGCCACGACGGTAGCGACGAGCGTACCGTTCGCAGCGTTGGCCACTGTGTAGACGAGCGTACCGTGCAGCGGCGCGGTGACGAGTGTGGAGGGTTTACGGAATTTATGGATACAAGGGGATTATATGTGGATAGTGTATTACAGAAAAGTTGACAGCCGTACGAAGAAGAGGCACTGCATACGTTGTTCTCGTGACAAGTGCTTCCATAATGGATGTTGCTATGGCGTATGTCGTTCTCACAGGTGCCGCAGGCGTCCTTGAAACCTCAATTTTACTAATGGATCTAGGTGGTCTTACTATATCTTGATCCTCAGTTGTTATAGATTGCTCCTACCAATATGTATCAGATAAGGTTTATTCTTATCGCAAACAGAAAAGTAGGAGAAATGCTGTTACAACACAACAATTTGTACGGTTTCACATATATAGATTCTGAGATATTACATAAGCCCATATATACCCCCATGAATGGAAAGTATAAACAGAATCACCTGCTTATATATCATAACACGTCGCTATGTTAGTAAATTCAACCAAATGCACTACTCATGAGTATTCATTTAACAAATCAATGTAACATTCTCTAGATAGTACCATTGTGCATACCATTATTTTCTATCATTACAACTTTTTTTGCGCTCGTGTGTTCTACCATATTATTTTTTACCATTTCAAGCGCTTACATATTTCTATATTAAATTTGATGAACACATTATTAAAATATTTTAATTAGTACCATATCCCTCTGAATAAAAAGAGAAAAAAATATGTAGCCTAAACCTGAAAACTGTGTAAACGTGGAAAACGCTCCAACATACTCTCATGCAAATGATCTAAGTCCTTTCATCCATTTCCATCATTATATCACACTTGAAATAATAAACTGCTACAGTACATATATATAGAAGTTCCTATTGCTCAAAACAAATAATTTTTCAATTTTTTCGACTGTTCGAATTGCAACATCATGAAAGAGCGCCTACTACACATTTACAAGATACAAAGCACCTAATTCATTATCCCAATATTATATAATATCTACTAGAATAAACCCCCTTAACTACTTTTCACCATCACATTTCTTATATTACATATTGTTA